TTGGGCCCTACAAGTAGAATTCAAGGTCAAAGGTATTATAACTTTACATCTCTCATCCATGTTACTAAATTCTTTTCCAGAAAAATCTTACCACTGTACATTACCATACAGAGTATATTGCTGGATGCTCCCACTTAAGACATGTTCTTAATTGTTCATCTCTCACATTTAATGAGCTGTAACCACTGCCAAAGCACAGGCAGGTCATCCAGATAGCATCATTCCTACAGGCTGCACCAGAAGGTCACAGTGCAATTCCAGCAGCATATATTTGGATACTATGAACACTTGGACCGAAAAAAGCCTGGAAAGGGCAAAGCCAGAATAGCTGAGTAACAAGACACTATAGTAATAAGACACTGTAGAAATCGTCAGCTTCTCCTTCCTCTTCTGATTTACCAATGAAATAAGTAGTTTGTGGCCCTGTGCACACACACAATGAACATTTGGGCTGAGATAGTTACTTGCTGTGAGGTCACTCTGAACATTGCAGAATATTTTTGCCTCTCTGACTCCACAGGGAAATGCCAGCAGCTCTGTCCAGTCTGTGACGAACAGCAAAGTCTCCTTCCTTCCTGTGTGCCACCAATGCTGGGTGGGGAGCCCATCAGCCCCTGGATTGAGCCCATCAACAAACAGGTGACACTGTGGCAAACAGTGCAAAACTGCTTGTGCATCTGAGGGTGGCTGGAAGCATTCGATACCCACACTGGCTTCTCCTCACACACCTCCAGAAATGCACATCTTCCAGTTTGGCTGCAGATGTCAAGAGGGAGGGGTGCATGAGCCAGTTCCACCCTCAGGGCCAGAGTTAAGGAAGACAAGCCTGCAGCAGTCAAGTGATCTTTGGAGACCAGAGACCCTGCCATCCTTGGACAGCAAAGAAAGGAGACACCTGTGATGTTAGCCTGAATGGGTAGGAGATGGAGGGAACTTCCTGAAACAGAGGAGAGCATGGTCAGGAGAAGAGAGTGCCCAGGGCAGTGGTGTAGGTCTGCATTGGCCACCTTTAAGGGGAATGTGAAGTCAGGACAATTCAGCAGGCTGGGCTCTAGATGGGGATGGGTTTCAGGCTAGAGAAACACCATGTGCAGAAGCCATAACTGTGGTGTTTCAGAGGCTGCAGGAGTTTGGTGTGCCTAGGGCTGTGGCCAGTCCTGATGGGTCTTGCATGCTACCATGGTTTTGTCCTATGCAGTGTTGGTCGGAGACTTGACAGTTCTTTGCTCAGGGCTATGTGTTAAAAGATCTCAGCAGACTGCAGAGAAAGGAGGGCTAAGGGCAGAGGTACCATTGGGGGCTTCTTAGTGAGCTTTTTGTCACCATATTGAAGGATCTGACACAGGCTACTTATGAAGTAGTTAATTTAGCTCACTCTTTTGGACATGGCACTGGCATTAGCTCAATTTTGGTGATTCTTTCACCAAATAAAAGATATCTGTGTGAAAGGAGGATCTTACATGGCTAAAAGGAAGTCAGAGGGGGGGGAGGGAGAGAGAGGGGGGAGACCCCACAATCCTCCCTCAGAGGACTTCCCACTAGGCTCCACCCCTTAAAAGAACCATGACCTTCCAGTAGCACCATCCTGGGGACCAAGACTCCAACACATGTACTTTGGGGGGACACTTAGCACCACATAAAAACCACAGCAAGGAGCCTTCATGATAATCTTAAGTGACTGTCCTTCTAGGGATGCCTGTGAGGACTGATTAAGAGAACTGTAGCTTGGAGGAGAAGCAGGAGGTCACCTAGAATGGTTCCCTGACATACCTCATGGGCAAAAGTGGGTTGTTTCATGTACAATAATTAAGTTTCAGAAGTAAAACATTTTACCTTCTAAGAATGTGCAAAATGATACCAGTTACGAATTGAATAGAATTTATACAATATATTAATTTTTCTCAAATTAGTCATGTGTTAACTGCCATGACCACATATACATTAATAGTCATTGTTCTTGATCCAGTGGCAGCTACCCATCTTATAGTCCCAAACCCATTTATCAGGATCAAACTGAGACTTATCCTGGAGTATTTAACATTTTTAACTAGAGACAAAACTCTCACAGTAGAAATTCAAACATCAGCAGGCTCTTGGTAGAGTCAACTTTCTGTTAACTAAAATCACCCCATGTGGATATCACTAAGGAAAATATACAAAGAGAAATCTTGATATCATTAAGTGATCATGAGGCCTGCTTTGACATTCAGGTTCATGTCTAAAGCACCTTTTATGGTTAGAGAAGTCTATGTCATTGTCAGCCTTCTCTTTTGTATTTTTAATTAGATGAAGGTGATGGGGTTGTGGGTTCAATTCTCAGCACCACATATAAATAAATAAATAAAGTCCATTGACAACTAAAAATATATTTTAAAAAAAAAGAAGAAGAAGATGCCAGTTATACCAGTCACAATATGGGACAAGGAGACTGTAGAGTCTATGAAGAGTAAGATTTCTCTAAAGATCTCGACTGAATAGGCAAAGAGTTGAAAATGTATTCAAAGACAGGTATTCATCAGATTTCTAGCAAGTTTTATTTGCCTTCAATCCTAATCATAAAAATTAATATTTTGAACATTTTAAAATTTAAAATGTGTTCCACAGGCAACCTAGGCATACTCATACAGCTGAAATGGCTTTCCTTACTGCCAAGAGTGGCTTTGAGAACGCTGAAGCTCTTCTTTAGTTCCAGTCACAGTGCCCAGACTATTTGAGCAGCAATGACATGGGACACCTAATCTGTATCCCCTGTGTCTGAAGAGTGCTACTGCCTTCTAAAGCAGAGTCCATGTCTTACCTCCCTTCATGACTGTCACCTGTTTTCCACAGGCTCAGAGAGAGGCAGCTCCTGCTCCCAGACACATACTTAACTCTTGCTGAGGGGGTCTAGAGTGTGCCTGCAGCTCTCCTGTCCTCAGGTGTAGTCACACCTATGAGCCGTGTCCAGCACCCTTGGCTCTCCAGCCCAGAAGACCAAGGCCTGGTGGCTTCTCCCCTGTTTATCTGGCTCCATTCTAGCACCTTGGCTGCATTTGAAGGTGTTTCCCTAGTTCCCAGCACAGCACGAGGGACACATTGGATGCCTATTGGTGCTATTGGGTGACTTCCTGCTGAAGGACTGCAGCCCTGGTCCTGGAAGGATTATCACGACCTGTTATCCCTGGTACCTCCTCTGGCGCCCAGCCACCACTCCATCCATCTTTGCCCAAGTGTCTAACTTGAGTTTCTGTAGGGATCACAAAGATTACACTTAATAGGAGAGGTGATTTTAGGTGGTGTATTCATTGATATGGAATCAAATATGAGAAATTCAATCTCTTAATTCTGTTTTCATCCTAACAGCGGTCTTGAAGGTCTCAGTTTGATTATAGTACAGTCAGCGCTTCACATCTGTGAATTCAACCAATCAAGGATCAGAAATATTTCAGGGGGAAAAGAATGGGTCTATACTGAACATGTACAGACTTTTTTCTTGTTATTACTCCCTAAACAGTACAACAACTATTTACATAGCATTTACACCTATTAGGTATTATAAGTCATCTAGATATGTTTTAAGGTATATAAGAGGATGAGTACAGGTTCAGTGCAAAAACTGTGCCATTTTATATACAAAACTTGAGCATCCACAGATTTTGGTATCTTTCAGGATCCTGGAACCAATCCCCTTTGTATCTTTAACACACCTCTAATACTTCTAACCTCCCTCTTTAAATAAATAAAGAGTTTATACTCAGGGGTTGTTTGTGAGGGGAAGTTAGAGCAAACAATTGTCAACAATGTATTTAAAGCTACCTTCCATTTATGGTATCAGTACCTCCTTTTAGAGAAGTGATGTAGAGTTTCCTATTTAAGTTAAATTTAAGCATAAAAAGAAAGTTGCTGTTAAGAAAAAAGTAAATAATAAGAGTGGTAGTAGATTAATATGGCAAGGTGACATATGACACATGACTTATAATACCAATACAACATGACACATTATGAAGGTGACATGAGAATAACAACAATTTGGGAAAATTTTGCTCTAATTCACACAAACAAAGGTGAAAATTTGGAGTTGGTCTGAGCTGCAGGTAGAGTCCAGAGCTCCTGTGGGGATACCATGCTTCTGTGGAGGAAGATGTGGGGAGTTAGAGGTCAGGTGAATCATTTCTCTTTCTAGCGTTCCTTTCCTCATCTCTGAAATAAGGAGTGGAACACGTGGTTATCTTGTTTATGCCAGCAGTTACTACCTGTGACTACTGCACAGTGCTGTAGATATTAATTCAATTCTGTTCCACATGTTAATAGGGAAATAACATCCAGTACTTCAGTGTCCACTGACTCCAGGACCCCTGTGGATGCTAACGTCCACAGATGCTCATGTCCCTTATATAAAATGGTTTAGTATTGCATAGAATCTACACATTCCATTTTGTATACTTAAACCATCTCTAGAAGACCTGATGTGGTGTAAATACTGTGGAAATGGTTGTTATACTGTATTAAGAAATAATGACAGCCAGGTACAATGGCACATGCCTATAATCCCAGCGGCTGAGGCAGGAGAATCTCCAGTTCAAAGCCAGCCTCAGCAATTTAGAGAGAGACGTAACTCAACAAGATTCTGTCTCTAGTTAAAATATTAAAAAGGGCTGGGGGAGTAGCTCAGTGATTAATTGCCCCTGGGTTCAATCCCTGGTACCAAAAAAAAAAATGAATGAATGGAAGTTTGTACTTGTTGAGGACAGATGCAATTCCCCCCGCCACCCGCCCCCATTATTTTTTCATCTGAGGTTGGTTGAACCTAAGGATGTGAAGAGCTGACTATGCACATGTGTACCTACATCCTTAAGGAGACTTCCCCAGCGCTACCCGTGTTTGGAAGTGGGAGTACAGCTGATAAGACTCAATTCTAGTACTCATCGTGACTGCCCTGGGGTGATTGCCCTCTGCAGCTCAACTACTCTAACCCGCGTATTAATGCGCAGTGTTCCCTTACAGGTTAGCAATCTGAAGCAATGGGTGACTGGAGCTTTCTGGGGCGACTACTAGAGAACGCACAGGAGCACTCCACGGTCATCGGCAAGGTGTGGCTGACGGTGCTGTTCATCTTCAGAATCCTGGTGCTGGGGGCCGCAGCAGAGGAGGTGTGGGGTGACGAGCAGTCCGACTTCACCTGCAACACCCAGCAGCCTGGCTGCGAGAACGTGTGCTACGACAGGGCCTTCCCCATCTCGCACATCCGCTTCTGGGTGCTGCAGATTATCTTCGTGTCCACGCCCACCCTCATCTACCTGGGCCATGTACTGCACATTGTGCGCATGGAAGAGAAGAAGAAAGAGAGGGAGGAGGAGCTGCTGAGGAGGGAAAACCCGCACCTGGAGCGGGGTCAGGAGTCTCTAGATGGGGCTGGCTCTCAGGATAAGACTGCGGTGCGTGATGACCGAGGCAAGGTGCGCATCGCTGGGGCGCTGCTGCGGACCTACGTCTTCAACATCATCTTCAAGACGCTCTTCGAGGTGGGCTTCATCGCTGGGCAGTACTTTCTGTATGGCTTCCAGCTGCAGCCGCTCTACCGATGTGACCGGTGGCCCTGCCCCAACATGGTGGATTGCTTCATCTCCAGACCCACCGAGAAGACCATCTTCATCATCTTCATGCTAGCGGTGGCCTGTGCCTCTCTGGTACTCAACATGCTGGAGATTTACCACTTGGGCTGGAAAAAATTCAAACAAGGAGTGACTGATCATTTCGGCCCAGACACCTCCGAATCCAAGCTGGTGGCCGCAGAGCCATTGCCGCTCGCTTCCCGCCCACCCACGGTCACTATTGGATTCCCACCTTTATACACGCATTATGCCTCTCCCCTGGGACAGGCCGGCGAAGCCGGGTACCCCGGAGCCCCGCCACCCGCAGCAGACTTCAAAATGGTAGCATTGAATGAGTCACAAGGGAAGGGCCACCCTGCCAAGCTCTACAATAACCAACACCTGCTGATGACAGAGCAGAATTGGGCCAACCAAGCGGCTGAGCATCAGACTCCGGCGCGGAAAGCCTCCTCCGCAGCGTCCAGTCCCGCAGCCCCAAGCCCCGCAGGCAGCAACAGCCAGCGGCTCCCACCGGAGGCTGGGCAGGGGGGCACCGCACCCCAGCTGTTGGAGGACCGGAGCGGCAGCAGCTTGGAAGAGAGTGCCTTGGCTGTGACCCCCGAAGAAGAGGAGCAGGCCTTGACCACCACAGCAGAGATGCATGAGCCTCCCTTGCTCCTTACAGACCCAGGAAGGTCCAGCAAGGCCAGCAGTGGGCGGGCCAGGCCAGGTGACTTGGCCATCTAGCAGTGGTCTCTCCAGACAGCTTTATAATACATTTTTTTTTTCTAGAAACCAAAACCAAAGCCAAAGTTCAAATCAGCAGGTAGAAAGAGCCTGAAAATAAGAGCGCGCTGGAGTCCCAGAAGGGAGATGTGGATCAGAATCTATCAGGTGTTCGTGTTTAATGCTTGCTGTTCTTAACCCCGAGTTATAGTGGAGATGATTCCAACGTTTCTGAGTTTGTGAGGTGGGGCAAAGCTGAGGGCAGTTGTTGGCCTTTAAAGATATTCACAGCAGCCCAGCAGCCTGATGGCTGTTAGGCCTCTGGGTTCCTGCTGTCTCTGTGGTTAACTGTTCTGTTGTGACAAAGCAACAGGTGTCTGCAGCCCTTCAGCTAGGGACAATTAGGTTTTCTATTCCTAACCTCACCAGAGCCTTTGGGCAGCCCAGCAAGTCACAGACACACTTAGCTCTATCTCTGCTTGATACTTTTAACTTAGAGTTGAATTTCATTTGGGATATTTGCCAAACTGCACTAAAAAAAGATTTAGAGTGAGTCCATATAGTGTCATTTGAGTTTCTGAAATTGGATGTGAAGCCCAGGATATCAAACTACAAGCTTCATGACAAGTGACAAAGAGCAGTTACCCTCCAGAGTCAGATTCAATGAGACAGAGCCACAGAGGTTGCTGGTAGAAGGCAGGTGGAGATGCAGCGCCACTTGAGAAAATTTTTCAACAGCTGAGGAAATGGACATGGAAGTGTGGCAGGAATGTCTTAGGTATTTATTTTTTAAATGATATTTTGTGCTTTGCTCTGGATGGAACAGGTATGCCTATTTTCCCCCCACTTTCTATCTTTTAGGAAAAATAGTACTGTTAAAATGGGTACTGACACAGAGGATGCTAATTTGTCCTAGTACATACTAGTAAAGATTTTTGAACTTCCTTTTAAAAGAAATTCTTCAACTTCATGAGTCAGTTAATCATGATGAGAACGTAATATAGAAAATAAAAAGCAGGGGGGAATTTAAGTGCATTTCAAATACTTGAAGTTGTGAAGTTTTTGAATGGGAGGTTAAAAGTTAACTACTGTTGCCAGGAAAAATATTTATACAGATGAATCAATGAAGATCTACACTTTTTTTTTTTTTAAAGAAAACAGTACAAAATAAAACACTTTGAGTTTCCTAACTATTCTTTGTGGGTAGCCTGTTTGCTTTCTAAAGTTTAAATAAAAGTGTCTGGGTTTTACTGCCTGTGTAAAAGTGTGTGCTGATTATGGGGTATACATCTTATTTCCCACCCATACGAGAGCTGTCCTGACAGGGAAGCTATTTATGTGTGTGGGCCCAGCTTGAAGATGTCAGAATTTTTGTACGGCACACACTGCTATAGAGTCTTGATCACAATATGTTTATAAACTGATGAGCAATGGTCATTTGAGCCTTTCTCCACTCACACTTTTCACTTCCAACTTCCACTGAGTATTGTTAGCAAGTATCTTTAGCCCTATTCAGCAGAAGATCATATATTTTTCCATATAATTCATTTCTTTTTATAAACCAATTTCCTGGTGATTCATGTGAAGCCATACTCTACAACATACTTTATGTTTTATATCATAAAGGGTGATCCACTAACAATCTGATGAAAAGAGTGTGATTTTTTTTTTAACGCTCTGATTCATGTTTGCAACTCGTTTGCATAGGAATCAACACGATTTATTAGTGTGTTCTTCTTGCCCTAGAATGCCCTGGACAATTAATTGCCTAGGTTTGGAAAATGCTAGATTTCCATATATATACTGAAAGCAGAGCTCAGCCCTTTGGAAAAATTATTTAAATTATTCTTCGCGATTCTCCTAGCCTGGTGAATATCTAGGGCCATTCTAGATGCATAAGTTCTAACACTTCGCGTTGCAGTGAGTACCTTAGCTTTAGGGCAACAGGACTTAGCTATCCTGAGTGAAGGGCTGCTAGAAAATCCTAATGTGAAAAGCATTCTGATAAAAATCTTTGCTCCTTTTAGAAAATGCAGTAATACAGCTGGGGATGTAACTAGGTGGTTGACAAGACCCTGGGTTTGATCCCCAGCACTGCCTCCAACACACACACCAAAAAAAAAAAAAAAAAAAAATGCAATTGCAGTCATCAGAGACCATAGGTATGACTCAGGGTAGATGCAAATGCTTATTTAGTAAAGTTCTACCATAAAAATGTTAATAATAAGTGTCTTATTTATCCACAGTTTGATTTCAGGTGAGAGTGGAGAAGAGAATAAGAACTCAAACTGTTTATTTACATTTTGAAACTGAATTCTGTTTGCAATATGTTCATGCAAATGCCAGTATTGTTTAATTGATCATAGTCTAATTGGCCCATTAGTTCATGGATAGGATGTAAAATTAGATTCACCTACTTTAAAACACTAATTTGTAAAGAAGTGGAATTTTGCAGTAGAACATTGCCTATGATATTTTTTCAAGTTAGTGTACTAATTTCAATTCCTATAAAGAAATGAAAGTGTGTCTTATATTGTGTTCTTATTTGAGAATACAGTATCCATGATCCTAGTGAGTCTTGACAGTGTGGAATTGCTCTCTATTTAACCAATCATTTTAAGCATTGAAATGTGCAATAAAAATAGAAATTGCCTCTCCCTGTGGCCAAGATTCTGGACATTTTTTTCTATACTAGTTTGGAAATTTCACTGACACTAATTTTCCTTTGATTTAATAGAAAAACTCTAAAATTTCTAAACTTATTTTAAAATTCAGATGCTATACCTATCATATTTACATACAAATGATTTTTAATCTGCAGTATTACAACACAGTTACTCCTTACATCCCTGTTTTTAGAAGCACAGTCATCAGTTAACCCTAAGCACAACTATGGTGGTTACAAAATGTTAAGCCTCACTATTGTCAAAGGACTCAAATCCATTTTTTTTAATTCTGAAAGATTTCCTATGATTACTTTCTCCTTTCTAAGTTTTATATTATTATCTTTTTTCACCTTTATATTATTTATTTATTTTTATGTGGTGCTGAGGATCAAGCCTCACATGTGCTAGGCAAGTGCTCTACCACTCAACCACAATCCCAGCCCCTCTATTATTATCTTACTGTATTATTCTTGGTATTTTTTCCTCAAAAAAATGATAAAGAAAAAAAGATAGTTTAAGTTTCAAAAGAAAAGAAAAAGGGGTGGTGGGGGGAGACCAAGCTAGCATATTTCTTTGATTATTTTTATTTCTATATTTTTTTGCAGTATGGGAGATGAGCTATATCCCCAACCCTTTTTGTTTTTAATTTTGAAACAGGATCTCACAAAGTTGCCCAAAGCTGGCCTCGAATTTGTGATCCTCCTGTCTCAGACTCTGGAGTTACTGGACTGGAGTGTTCTGACATGCCTGGCTAAGCCAGCATGTTCCTGATATACCCTGTCTTTACTGGATAACTAAGTGAATAAATCATAGGATTCTTACATAAGAATACCTAGAATAAGAACTATAAATATAATTCGAGCATCTCTTTTTATTAAATATAACCTGTGGGCTAGGGTATAGCTCAATGGTGGTGCACTTGCCTAACATGTGCAAGGCCCAACCCCAGTAATGGTGATGATGATGATGATGATGATGATAACAATAATGGGGTTTAGGTCTTTTTTCAGTTTGGGCTGATGCTGATGATGATTACTAACACTTCCTTTAAACTTTAAGTATTACTGAATGAAGTTTTTTTTTTAATTCTTATTGACCTTTTCATTCTGATAATTATAACATTAATACACTGATCTCTACCATAATAAATACTTGTAGCGAGTATTGCATGATTTAAGAGGGTTACTATTTTTTGCAGAGATCAACAGATTCCTACCATGAGTTCAGGATATTTTAAATATCTTTTAAATATAATGTACATTCAGAGTTAGGGAATGGAGGCTAGGGATGTAGCTCAATGGTAAAGCACTTGCTTAGCATGTGTACGGCCCTGGATTGCATCACTATCATTGCAGAAGAAAAAAGGGAATTTATTTCTCTCCTTAATTCTGCATTACATTGTGTCTATTCACTCTATGAATCCTAAAGCCTCAAGCTTTTTTGTTGTTGTTGTTCCGCTTTACATTATCAACTGTCATAACAAGGCTTTTTCATGGCCAGTTAGGGATTTAAATGGCACTAAAAGCAGTGAACTGTTTTTTAGAAAGTATTATATTTGAAGATATTTGTTGTGCAAATATTAACTTAGCTCCTATATTTACAAAACTCTTTACTAATACTTAAAACTTGATTTTTGTGCCATAACCATGTCTTTCCCAGATTAATCTGTAACTGAAATAAGCATTTTCTAAAATAAGTAATAAAAAGTGGGTAAATTTAAATCTCTAGTTCTGGAGTTGGTCAACTGTTTTTATTGATAGACTCCCTGAGAAGATTTTCAAAATAATAGTTTTTATTTTCTTAGGACAAGGAGCCTTTTCCTGTAGAAGCTTAAGAAATTGCTGCTATGAGTGTCCTGTGGTTTTGCAGGCTGCTACCAACTTGAAATTTGGATCTTCCAAGGGTTCTTCTAGCATCACTATTATAGTGTGTTAATCTGAAGAAATAATATTAAAAAGTTCACCTTCTCTCTGATCATTAAAGTCCCCCTTCATTCATGGTACTACTGAGCTCTGTGGGGCTTATGAGTAAGAGGTCTCTTTAGCAAAGTAGGAGTTCATGGTACCTGAGAAAGTTTTTCTGTATATAATTATAAATATTCGTATAGCTATATCTTTGCCTTGAGGGCACTATGGGCAATACCTGAAATGTGTCTGATTTCCCATCTTGATCATTGAAATACAGTTCCCACTGAACATTGTTTTTGCTATGTGTGCACTGATTTCCAGAGACACAAAGTAACCAAAAAATACCAGCTAACTACTTTGAAGGTTCTCAGAAACTCAGCTCCACCAAACAAAAACTGGTAGTATTTCTCATATTTCAGACAAGAAATGAAAAAAAAAAAAACTGTTG